AAAAAAAAGGCCTTTTCTCTAGAGATGATTCTGTGTCTATGTTCAAATGCGGTTAAATCAAGAAGATGAGGCTTCGAATCCAAGATGTTGTTAATGTAATATATAAATCAAAATGAAAGCTTGATAAGACAAAAGTTGTTAAGAGCAACAAAAAAAACCCTAAAAATTCATATCTTCTGTATGTATCGAGCATTAGGGTCCAAGTTGGTTATCAGACCCGTTAGCTCAACAAAATAAAAGATTTTTTTTTAAAAAAACAGAAGATATTGGTGAAAGGACATGATCTGGTAAATATTGAGATCATATAGATAGATACGTGAATTGTTTGCAAATTGAAGATTGCAAATTGTTTGCTACTCTGTTCTTGCTCTGACAATCATTCACACCTTCGGCTGCTTGTGATACAAGTATGAAATTTTTGTTTTCTTAATTCCAGTTTCCACTTTATTTAAAGAGAGTAGATTACTGAATCTTGTGTTTTGTATTCCGGTATAATCTAACTATACATATTTGAATCTTTACAAAAATTTACATTTTTCTCTTTGATGGATAAGAGATTTTAAAACACAAGTAATTGTTGAGTAGTATGACAATGTTGTTCTTGTTGTTGTAAAGAACATCTAGCACTTGAGATTGACATTAACAGAGCCTTTTCTGTGTCTCCATCCATTCGTCTTTCGATCAGTTTGATTAGATACTCCAAGAAAACCGAATCAAAGGGCAACGTGATTGGTCCACCGCTTGGGATGCCAAACTCTTCTTCCGCTATCTTTAAGATCTCTTGGAAAACACAGTTGCTCAGATAACTTATCGGAAAAGCAAACCGGGTATTATCTGCCGTGTAGACTACAAAGCAACCCTTCTCTGCTGCAGTTGAGCTGCTAGTAGTAGAAATGGATCTCTGAAATGAGATTCTTTTCCTCTTGAGAGCTGCTCTCTGTTGCCATTTCTTGGCCATCTTGATGAGTTTCGTTGTGTTCATCATTTTTGTTTTCTGTGTGCAATAGGCTTTGATCGGAAAGCGAGAAGGAATATGAAAGAGAGCAGATTTGTAAGCTTTGTTTGGAGAAGTGTTTGAATGCTTGTTGATGGTTGATGAAGAATCCAATAGGATCTTTAACAAAAAATAAAAGAATCCAATACGCTTGTTACAGTATATATTCTCTATATATTAATAGAGGAGACACTACGTGAAAATCATAAGTGTCATCCAAATATGGTTTTAAAGAACTTTTAAGGAAACCTATTAAAATTTCTTAATAACATTATTATGTAAATAATTAGACTAAATTTATATATAACTATTAAACAAATATGGAAACAAGGTATATGTGGTAATTAATATGGAAGATTTTATTTAATAAATATAAAGTATATGAGAGAATATATCTTTTTTTTTAATAACTATTAGATTTTTTTGACATGCGTTAAATACGGGATTATAATATTTAAAAAAATATTCATGATTTTTTTAATATACGAGAGAAATTAAAAATAACAAAGATATATCTCTAGTATAGATAAATATATTGATAAATATATTTTATCTTACAAAWTTTAATTTGCATGATACTTAGACTAAATGCAGATAATTTTTTAGAAATGCTACTTTTCAAAAATATCATCATTTTGAATTTTTCTTTAAAATGCCACTAATCCTCTATATATTAATTGAATAGACATTTGGTGAAAAAATCATATGTATTATTCAATGATGGTTTTAAGGAATATGTCATTTAAATTAACTAATAAAAATATTTTAATTAAAACTATATACTATGGTGAAAATCTCTACATGTTTTTATTAATTTTATAACATAAACCCATTAATATATATTTTACAGAGTTAAGTTTAACTAAATGTACTATTTAGACTTACTATATCATCTATTTTAAAAAAAATTGATATATTTAAAAGCTTTTTATTATTATATTTGTAACAATATTATTTATTTGTAGATGATAACTACAATTACAAATATTTTTACATTTTATTATTAGAAAACATATATTTTTTGTTTGGTATGTCCGACAAATTTATTTAAATCTAAAATTTATTTGATTTATCGCATAATCTACTATTTACACAAATAATAAAACTCAATTTGACACTTCAAATAAATTGAAATAAAAAACATTTGCATTAGTTTTAATATTTTATGCAAAATTGATCAAAACTGTTATAAACCCATTTGTATGGATGTCCATTATAGGCCCATATTCTA